GGGGACTTCTTTTGCAACCTTTGTACTGTATAAATGAAATGTCTTTTTAAAAGAAAACATGGAAAGGAAAACCTGTACGTCATCATTAAGCTCCTAGCTACGTCGATGAGTAAGCTATAACGTGTTCAAGTTAATATGATGATTACATACTTTGACGGGACGAAGAAAAGAGAATTTAGGTGATCTTGTTTTCCTCTAGATGGTTTCTTGTAATTTTATGGTGTATAAAGTTAACGAGTTCAATGACCAAAATACTCGTCTACTAAGAGGGCTACAAAATAGAGAATGATGTGATCGTTCACATAACATAGCAAGCTAAATACCGGTTAAAGCACCTTAGAACTTCCTCCGAGAGACAGCTGAGAGTATTTCCATTCGATAATTACTTGGTCGAAGAATATAATCAGTTCTTTAGCTAATGGGATGTACTTATTTATCTCATATGTATATCAGGAATATTATTTTTTCATGGTTCGGTTTGGTTTAGAATAACAAGGTCTCGGATATTATATTGTTTCGCTGGGTTTTGATTGACTCTTGACTTTTGTGGATGCTTAGCTTTATAAGAACTTAAATGGGCTTTAAACGGGTCGAAGTATAGAACGTTTCCTTTATTTTTTACTATGAAAATGACGTTTTCATTTGCACGTAATCCAGTACTACCTGAAGACAGGAACTTGCAAGTTTGGGGCTACGTGCAAGTTTCATCATCCTAGAGACAAGGCTGGGATTGCTGGAAGAGTTGCCTTAAATATTATTGGCTATCCACTTCGCCCGGTTAGGATATAACTTCTCCCTTTTAAAGATCTTCGGTTGTCGAGCTGCCTATGCTTTTATGCTAAAAATATTCATTGTTCATCCTTTCCTCCTCACTTCCAATTGTGCAGAGTGAACCTGAATGTGCTTATTATATAAGAACTGGACAATGTAAGTTCGGAAATACATGTAAATTCCACCATCCTCAACCGACTAATATGATGGTCTCACTGCGTGGTTCTCCTATTTATCCAACCGTACAATCGCCAACTCCTGGTCAGCAATCATATCTAGGAGGAAGTACAAATTGGTCGAGGGCGTCGTTTATTCCCAGTCCACGATGGGAAGGCCCTTCCAGTTATGCATCTTTAATATTACCTCAGGGAGTTCTTTCTGTTCCAGGTTGGAATGCATTCAATGTAAGTCTTATTCCTTACCCATGTTTGGCATAGTATCGTATATATATATTATTATGTTTGTTTACTTAAAAGTCGATGGTTCGATCTCTCCTCGCAATTGTTGAACTCAAAAATATATACATTATATGTGTGTGTATTGACGTTCAGCAGCTTTCGGGGGGGTCTTTTCCTTTGTCTTCTGCCAATTATGTTTCAAAGAAGGTTCAATGGTGGCTGCTACACCCTCTAGTGGATAAATGTTCAGTCTTTATGATATCTCTTCGTTTTACCCTTGAGTTTTTTACTTTCTTGGAATTATTGAGCCCTTCACAGCCAAGGTAAACATAAGATGGTGATTTTTACAGGAGCAGCTTGGATCGGTTTCATCTTCAGAAAGTCCACAACAAACGGTAGGACGAGTGACTGAGTTAATGCAGGATCTGTAGCAGTCTCTTCTCCGATACGTTCTAACCGTTCGATTTGGGTTTTTTGACATTGCAGAGGGAGAATGTATTCCCTGAGAGGCCTGGCCAGCCTGAATGTCAGTTTTACATGAAGACTGGAGATTGCAAGTTCGGTGCCGTTTGTCGATTTCATCATCCCAGAGAAAGAGTACTTCCTGCCCCAGATTGTGTCTTGAGTCCTATAGGCCTGCCGTTACGTCCGGTGAGTTAGTCGTGATGAAATAGCTAACTTTGATGTTCTAATTTACAAGGCGATATGTGGATCTATAGATTAGAGACCCTTTTCCTGGTTTGATGAAAGTATGTTTACTAATATTAACATGAACAGGGAGAACCTTTGTGCATCTTTTATTCTCGTTACGGGATCTGCAAGTTCGGTCCAAGCTGCAAGTTCGATCACCCTATGGGAATCTTCACATACAATCTCTCAGCAGCAGCAGCAGCAGCAGCAGCATCAGCCAACGCCCCAGTTCAGCATTTGTTTGGGACGTCTTCAGGATCAACTGCACTGAACTTGTCATCTGAAGGGCTAGTTGAAGCAGGATCTGCAAAGCCGAGACGACTATCGATCTCGGAGACGCGAGAGATGCCATCTGACGACGAAAATATCGACACAGAAGGCTGAACACCGCCTTTTTACTCCTTTTACAATCTTTTGGAAGATAAAAAGAAGAAGAAGAAGAAGAAGAGGTATTTGTAAATTCATTATGCCTTGCCTTGCAGGAAGGAAAAAAGATGTACAGGAGGGAGGGTTCATGTAAAGTTGTGATCCTGTTTTTTATTGTCTGAAAACGCATTTTTCAGATGGCAGCAGAGATTAATTCCTCTGAGTTTTTACTTTTTTTCTTTAATTATTTTATGTTTCTGCATTGTTGTATAAAACGATCTGCAGATTATGTCGGGTTTTTTGTTCATCTTTGGTAAAAACAACAATTCATCATGAACTGCTTCTCTTTGGGAGTTTAAATTCTTGTAAAGAAACGCTTTGCTATTTCTCCCCAAAGTTTGATGGCCTCTTTGGCTCTTCAATGAATCAATAATCTTGTTCTTCATGCTTTCAAATGTGTTTCTTCCAGCACAGTTCTATGTTTTGTTTGTCTCAGTATTTGAGTCTTCTTTATCAGTACTGAAGCAAAAGGGGCATGTATTGGCTTCTGTTCAGCAGTTCCATGAGTCGAAATCATGACAAATTGGGCTGTTTACGTAGTATTTATTGAGCTTGAACTCGACCCCGAATCCACATATTTGAAATTTCTAGTGATGCAAGTTTTATGTGTGAGATCTCATATTGGTTGGAGAGGGAAATAAAACATTCCTTCTCCCCACATATGAACTCTCCATCCACATACTTTTATTATGACACATGGGCTAGTTTAGGGTATGACAAAAACGGAGAGAGAGAGAGAGAGAAGGGACGGGAAAACAGAAGAATTGAGAGAAATCTTACATTGGGCTATTATATAGCGTTACAGAATATAGGAAGCCCGAAAAGGAAAACCCAAAGAGGACAATATGGTATCAGAGTCGATCTGGGGCGTTATAAATGGTATCAGAGTCAGACACTGGACTATGTGCCAATGAGGAGGTTGTTCCCCAAAGGGAGTAGACACGAGACGGTGTGCCAGTAAGGATGGGGCTCCAAAGGGGGTGGATCTGGACTGTTACAAATGGTATCAGAGCCAGACACCGGACTATGTGCCAGCGAGGAGGCTGTTCCCCAGAGGGGGTCGACACGAGACAGTGTGTCAGGGGGTGGATTTGGCAGGGTCCCACATCGGTTGGAGAAAGAAAAGAGTGTCATTGAGGATGCTGGGCCCCGAAGGAGGGTGGATTTTGATGTCCCATATTTATGAGAGTTGGAGAGGGGAAGCTCGAAAGGGAAAGCCCAAAGAGGACAATATCTACTAGCAGTGGATATGAGTCGTGTAAAATATAGTAGATGCATTTTAGAATCGTGAGGTTGATGGCGATACGTAACGGGTCAAAGTAAACAATGTATGCTAGCGGTGGGCTTGGGCTTGGCCAGTTACAAATGGTATTAGAGCCAAATACCAAAAGGTGTGCTAGCGAGAGCACTAGTCCCCAAGGGGTGGTTACAAATGGTATCATAGCCCAAAGCCAAACATCAGGCGATGTGCCAACGAAGACGCTGGGCTCCAAGGAGATGAATTGTGAGATCCCACATCAGTTAAAGAGGGAAACGAAACATTCCCTACCTTTCTATAGCATACGCATTTTAAAACCATGAGGCTGACGACAATAAACAATAGGCAAAAGCAAACGATATCTGTTAGAAGTGGATTTGAACTATTACAAATGGTATTAGAGTCAAACACTGAACGGTGTGCCAACGAGGACATTGGCCTCAAAGGAAGTGGTTATAAATAGTATCAGAGCCACACATCAAATGATGTACTAGTGAGGACGTTGGCCTCCAAAGATGATGGATTATGAGATAAACATTCTTTACCTCATTATAGTAGACGTATTTTAAAACCGTGAAGTTAACGAACATACAAACTCAGATGATTCAAAGAGAAAGAGTCCGTAAAAAGAGAAGCAAAATGTTGTTTTTTAATCTTATTATTAAGAATAGAATATAGTATTATTCTCCAACTTGTTTCAAAAACTATGGACGTTTTGGATGCTCTCATGCTTACTCATTATGGCATGCATACTTTTTTTATGCCCATCAAATCATCGTTCTTATACAACCATAACGTATTATCGATTCGAGTAATTAGTTCAATAGATAAGATTCCATTCGATAACTATTTTATTTTTTATTTTTGATAATCGTACTCGTTTTCGTTTTCGTTAAAAAAAACATTTGAATTTTTAGTTAATTTTTTTATTACTATTTTAATGAATTTTTAAGTTTAGTGATAGCAATCACTTTAATTTTGAATATACACATATACTGTTGAGATTCGAGAACGAAATATTTCTTGTAAGGGTGTGGAAATCTCTCCCAACCAAATGCGTTTTAAAAATCATGAGACGGTTATTAATCGGGCCAAAGTGGACAATATTTGCCAGTAGTGAGCTTGGACTGTTATAAATAATATTAAAGCCAAGAACAGTGTGACAGCAAAGATGTTGGCTCCATCCAAGGGGCCGTAAACGAAACATTTCTTATAAGGGTGTGAAAACTTCTCTTTAATAGAATGTTTTAAAAATCGTGAGACTGACGATAATATAGACGATGATACATAACTCTCGACTATAAGTTAAAGGGTAAAAAATGGTATTTTATTCCGAATATTTAATTAGTGTTGGGATTTAGGAAGAGGGTCACAGTAGCAGCTGATTAATGATGTCGGAATGACATTATTTTAAAGCGAAGAAATCTACTTAATCAGATTTTTAACATAATCACATCTCACATTCATTCTCAGCCGAAAGCCCATTACGAAGATCACCATAATATTTCCTTTCTTTTCGTTTCTTTAAACAATAGAAATCGAAAGACATTCCGCCAATCGCACCAATTCCACCACTGGGCTTCGCGCTCCGCTCACCATCGGCACAAAATCTCGCCTCTAAACCCTTAATTTCCATGATTTTTCTCCCAAATTCGAAAACCCCATCTCAAAATTTCTCCATCTTCTGAATCCTTCTCCCTTACAACTTCTTAAAACCCACCATTTCAGCGTTGTTATCGATTTCCTTTGGAGTTCTTGCATGATGTTGTCTAGATATGGCGCTGGATTCTCCCTCGTTTTTTTGCTTTTTCTCGCCGATTTTGCGACTGGAAACGAACTAAGTTTCACTCAAGTGAGTTCCCTTTTCACCATTTCCTGTAATTCATCGATCTCATTTTCCTTTTCATGAGGTTTATATAATGGGTTTCTTAAAATTTGTTTCTCAGTCAAATGGGTCTGTGGCAGCGATGGTGCCACTGATCGAGGAGGGGAAAATGACGATGATGGAGATGAATGAAACTAGAAGAAAACTGGGGAGCTTCCAAGTATGTGCTCCTTGTACTTGCTGTGGTGGGGCTAAGGGCCTGTGCTTGCCATCTCCTTGTTGTTATGCTATCAATTGCAACATCCCCAACAGACCATTTGGGTTTTGCTCTTTCACTCCTAAATCCTGTAATTGCTTTGGATGCAATCTCTAGCTTATACATTCATATATCTCTCTGAAATTTCCTTGCATATATATATATATATATATGATGATGATGATGATCTTGGTCATTTGTTATCTCTGTTGCTCTGTTCTGGAAATGATTGATTTGAAGAACTCTGTCCTGAAATTAATTCTTGACCCTCTTAGTTCCAAGATTTATCGTAGAGTTATAAAACTAGCCGTTCTTAGAGGCCTTGATGTTGTATAGATTCTCTGTAAGTGACCTGTGTTTGTTCTTGTTCTAAAACTTGTTAGCTTATTCAAGTTATTTGATGATTGCTTTGAGGCTCTTTGCTACTAGTTGTTTAGTTTGATTGATACCTCTAGTGTCTTAGAGTCATGGTTTGATAAGACACCAATCAACTTCTCTCCATTTCTTTATAAACTGAATAAGAATATGCTTCCTTTGTTGTGTACATCCATATCTTTTGTTTGGTGGGGGCTGAGTTGAGGGGATGGAGGAGTGAGAGTAGTGTAAACATTGTTTATAGTTCCTTATGTGTAACTTTGTCAACGTTTGTGAGACTAATCTATACCCACCGTAAAAGCTTGTAGCAGCTCAAACCCATCGCTAGTAGATATTGTTTGCTTTGGCTCGTTATGTATCGCCACCAGCCTCATAGTTTTAAAATGCATTTGTTAGGGAGAGGTTTCCACACCGTTATAAGGAATGTTTTGTTCCCCTCTCTAACTGATATGAGACCTCACAGTCCACCCTCTTTCGGGGCTTAGTGTCCTCACTAGCACAACGCCCGGTGTCTGGCTTTGATACAATTTGTAACAGTTCAAATCCACTGCTAGTAGCTATTGTCTGCTTTCGCTCGTTACGTATCGTTGTCAGCCTCACGGTTTTAAAATGTGTCTACTAAGAAGAGGTTTCCACACCCTTATAAGGAATGTTTTATTCCCCTCTCCAACTGATGTGAGACCTCACAATCCACCCCCTTTGGTGGCTTAGTGTCCTCGTTGGCACACCGCTCGGTGTCTGGCTTTGATACCATTTGTAACAGCCCAAACCCACCGCTAATAGATATTGTCCGCTTTGGCCCGTTACGTACCGTTGTTAGCGTCACAGTCTTAAAACACGTCTAGTAGGGAGAGATTTTCATACCCTTATAAGGAATGCTTTGTTTTCCCTCTCCCACCGATGTGGAACCTCACAAAGCTATTGCATTCTTCTTCATTTTTAACTCGGTGTCTTCTTCAAGACTCCGAGCATGAAATATTCATAATGTGATGAAGCTGTTAGCTTCGTTTTCGGGTAGGCAAAAGAACGAAAAATGCTCGACTTTCCTGCACATTTGTGGAGTGATGTAGGAAAGAGACAAGGGTGTACAACTTAGAAGTTATATCAACATTAAGTGCATTGAGAAAAGTGTTTGAAGAATCTAATTCTCCTCTTTCTTTGATGGAACACCCCATGTGATGCCTTGAGGACAAATAACTATTAACTTGTTGTCTTGTTTTCTTCTTTGCTTGATTTATGCCCTTCATACCCTTTAAACTACTACTCCAAGATGCCTAATTTATGTATCATTCATCCATACGTACTTGTACGGTATTTGGTATCGACCCGGTACAGTATGTGCTTCTCTTTACAAATTCTACTTTTGTTTCTCTTTTTCTAGTCATCGAGGTTGGTTGACCCGAGCCTCGAGTATGGTTATTGTTTTTCTATATGGTGCTTATTTTATGCTTGTGTGAAGCCTTGTATGTGAATACGTGACTTAGTCTTGTAACTAAACTATAGTAAACTATAGCTGCTTGAGAATGAAAACGATGTAACATAGGACATGAGATGTTCACAAATAGAAGAAATGTGATGTAGGAAATATGAGAACATATCGACACGCCTCACCCCCTCCGCCCAAGTTTTCGAGAGAGTGAGAATGGAAAGACAATGAATTTAATACTATCTTTCGGGCTTTCCCTCAAGATTTTTGGGCTTTTCCTTATCGGCTTTCTTATTACACGTCTACTAAAGAGACATTTTTACACCTTAAAAATGGTATGTTCCCCTCTCCAACCAACGTAGACATTTGTCGGACACGAATACGCTGTCTAACACAAGTCTATTTTGATGAACAAATATTTGATACTTATCAAGTACTTTGACATGTGTCAGACACGAATACGCTGTCTAAGTTAACTCGTCGGTGCTTCATAGATATACTTACCTGACACGAATATGCCAATGCAGCTAGCACGCCCGTGCTTCATAGGTATACTTTTGAAAACGGGAAAGAATCTAGGGGGTGACTTTTGTTGTCTTCTCTGTTGCTCAGTTAAAAATAGCCGCTGAAGAACAAAAGTGGCAGTCTTAAAGTTCCTGTTGTTCTTATATAGGAACTGATGGGAAACACCCAAAGTTGCTTCTGTTGGAAGTGGACAGAAAAATCCTTTTTTCTTTTCTTTTTTTATTTGGAGGTTCAAAATATTATATTTCGATGAATTAATAAAAATACCCTTAAACTTTATATTTTATATAAAAAGTTTATATTTTATTTTTTTTAATAACGTTTCGAAAATACCCTTAAGGAAAAAAATTCGTAGGGTGCCATATAATATTTTCATTACAGATCAATCATCGAAGTGGATATTAAAACAAAGTTTGAAGGCCAAAATAAAGCATTTCAGACACTCGGTACCTAAAAGTTCATTATATTTGCCCTATAACGGAAAACAAACCGAAGTTGGTGGCAGGTATTTGGTTTACCCTACGAGTGGAGCTCGAGTATGTTTGCAAGACATCGAGGAGGTCATTTTGTACTCTCATCCTCGAGCGAGAAAGGGGTCGAGTTTCTAACAACCAAGTTTGTGTAAGGTATTCGGGTGTAATAGCCCAAGCTCACCACTAATAGATATTGTCCTCTTTAGGCTTTTTCTTTCAAGGACTTCCTAGGAAAAGTTTTCCACAATGTTTTGTTCCTTCTCCAACCAATGTGGGATCTCACAATCCACCCCCTTGAGGGCCCAGCATCCTCGCTGGCACACCGCCCGGTGTCTACCTTTGATACTATTTGTAATAGCTCAAGCCCATCGCTAGCATATATTGTCCTTGGCTTTCGCTTCAAAGGCTTCCCCTCAAGGTTTTAAAATGCATCTACTAGAGAAAGTACTTCGCACTCTTATAAGATCTTGTACTCTCCTTTAAGGCGAAAGAAGGGTCGGGTTCTCTAGCAGCCTAGTTCTTTTACAAAAGGTGTTTCGAACTCAATCGACTTCACAATGCATAAACTCTCTTCAATATTTTCACAGTTCTTCTTTGCTTGATTTATGCCCTTCATACTCTCTTTCTATTCTTGTTTCTAGTTTCTTTCCAATACAACTCTAAATGGTATACCCCGGTAATACTTAAAAACATATTTCAACAGAAGAAGTTGAAATTTACAGCATTTTAAATACAGAACACCACGAGATCGGAAGCTCATACCCGAGGTTTCGTGTTAAGCTATCCGCTGCATATATTTCTGATAAACAATCATTGTTTCCTCCTTGTCCTTCAATACCAATGGCCATGAAAGTTTCTATATTCTAAGCTTCAATGACGATCTACATTGTTACAAGAACGTACCAGTTCGTCGTATGATCGTCTTATAAAGTGGTGTTGCCATCCATTGTCTCTGGGTATGGATCATGCCAGCACTCATCTTGCTCAGCAGCCTCTTGCCATCTTTTTCTAAATACAGCTAGTTCAATATAGGACTGCCTTCTTACCTGCATGAATAAAAATTGAATTCAAAGATAATAAATAGACAAGAAACGAAACAAATGTAGACTCGACGTGACAATAAGCCTAAGAGGATTGTTTCATCAGATTCCTCCGAGTTATCACAGACATACACACCCACCACCCACCCCCAAAAAAATCTGTGAGATCTCACATCAGTTAGGGAGGAGAACGAAGCATTCTTTATAAGGGTGTGGAAACCTCTCTCTAGCAATCACGTTTTAAGAACTTTGAGAGGAAACCCAAAGAGGACAATATATGCTAGCGGTGGGCTTGGGTTGTTACAAATGATATCATAGCCAAACATCGAGCGATGTGCCAATGAGGACTCTGGCTCCCAAGGGGGTGGATTGTGAGATCTCATACCAGTTTGAGTGGAAAACGAAACGTTCCTTATAAAGGTGTGGATACCTCTCCTTAATAGACGCGTTTTAAAAACCTTGAGGGGAAGCCTGAAAGGAACCGTCCAAAGAGGATAATATCTGCTAGCGGTGGGCTTGGGCCGTTACAAAATCATTTGGGGACCATGATTATCAGCATATTATTATCACGGGTGGCATTTATGATTAAGTATCAAAACCAGAATAGTTCATCAGAGGCATTAAACGAGGCTAAAGAAACAAATGAAAGTGAATTGCGTGTGCAAGAACTTACATCAGCTCTATGATCCTTTACAGGAGACTTTGAAGATGTCTGCAATTGTAGAGAACTTCTGTTATTTGATGATCATGAGGCTTAAGAAATCATAATGAAAGCAATAACTACGTTGCTACAAGTAAAATTATAAAACTATCATATTTTCAACCTCATTTTCTTCTGGACCACCGAGCGTCGGTCGTCCATGATGGATTACATACTCGGAGTCAACGACACCGACGTTCTTTGTTCGATCACCCTGTTGGGAAACGACCCAATATTTCAAACAGCAGAAGAAAATTAAAGGAAAACAAGATGACTGCAAGTAGAAACTCTTGCCTGTGCACAATATCCCAGTTGCATATCTAAGCCCCAAGCATGGATCAAATCATTCTGTTCAGCAAAAGAAACGTATTTTGATTAAAACGATACATTTTGACTTTCGTTTAGTTGAATAATGTATGACAGGCCAAGAAAAGGGTAGCACCCACCTGGATCATATACCAAACACAACGCCATGACGCTCGGGAAAAAACCGGGGCCATCATTTCGATCCATCTGCAACAGATCTAACTTTTCAGGCAGAAACACTTTGCACTCAAGCACAGGTCTATAAAAGGTATCTATCTTGAGACATTCCCTCAAAAAAACATTCAAACGAAAGCATAGAGCTTCGGGTAGCTGCGCTTACCCAGTGCATGGAGGGGCTGTACTGTTGATATCACAACCTTTTCCACCATTACTAGGTTTGTAAGTTCTCCTGCATAAATGACAGACCAAAGATAGAACCACACAGTAGTAAACAACTGATGAAAGCATATAAACAATGTATCAAAATGTCAATGATCAATGACTTCAAAAGGTGAAATATGAACATGTAATGACTTGATCTGTTATTTTACTCCACTGTGAAGAAGCTATGAGATTCTTGCTTTCATGGAAAGTTAATACAAATCAGTTCATACGAAAACAGGGAACGGGGAGAAGACCTGTGCACTTTCGATCGCCTCCCACGTGCAGTAATTTGATGGTGCACCTCTGATTTGAGTGGATCAAGAGCTGGTTGTGATATCTCTAGCCCTTCACTTTCAATAATATGTACATACCTTATAACGGGGAGACAAACATTGAAACAGTTCAGCATCTTTGATCTCTTGGAAGTTAGTAGTTGTTAGGAGACTATTGAAAGAGCCCAACATCTTGTAACAGCCCAAACCCACCGCTAATAGATATTGTTCATTTTGGCCCACGTATCGCTATCACTCACGGTTTAAAAAGCGTCTGTTAGGGAGAGGTTTCCACACCCTTATAAGGAATGCTTCGTTCCTCTCCAACCGATATGCGATCTCACAATCCACCTCCCTTGAGGGCCCAACATCCTCGCTGGCACACCGCCCGGTGTCTGGCTCGGATGTCATTTCTAACAACCCAAGCCCACCGCTAACAGATATTGTCCACTTTAGCCCGTTACGTATCACCGTCAGCCTCACGGTTTAAAAAACGTATGTTAAGGAGAGGTTTCCACACCCTTATAAGGAATGTTTCATCCCTCTCTCCAACCAATATGAAATCTCACGATCCACCCCCTTTGAGGGCCCAATGTCCTCGATGGCACACCGGCCGGTGTCTAGCTCTGATACCATTTGTAATAGCCCAAGCCCACCACCAACAGATATTGTCCACTTTAGCCCGTTACATATCGCCGTCAGTCTCACAGTTTTAAAACACGTCTATTAGGGAGAGGTTTCCACACCCTTATAAGAAATGCTCCATTTCTCTCTCCAACCGACCGTTTTGTTTTCATCAAACAAATTGAACCCAACTTACTTTTTAGGATTGAAATTGTCAACTCCAAGGTCCTCATCCCAAAGAAAGATGTAATTATATGCTGCTACAATATCAGGATGTAAGAAGCGCTTGGCAAACCACCTAGACATCACCAGATCAAGAACCAATGAAACAGAGTGAAACTCAGCAACTTTCATAAATAGAATGAACAAAACATATGTAATAAGAACCTACCACTTAGTTTGATTGATTGCAGTCACATGTACTACACGATTACTCCACTCAAATTCCTTCCATTTGTCCACGATACCATCATAATGGAAAAGCATCACAGCAAAGTCGCTAGCTAGAAACTGTTGAATAGTTGTGAAAAATTACAGATAAATGGCCACAAATTAACAGGATAGCTTTGAATTTAGCATATGATTATACCTCTCCTCATACCTTTGCTACCATTGTATTCACAAGATCTTTTTGTTTAATCCCGACGGCCACGGCAAATAAATTACTCGATACGTTAACGGGTTTCTGTTTCAAGTTATGCACAAATCAGTACAAGAATCAAGATAAGAGAATCAACAAGCACAAGTATGAACTTTAAGTGTTCATTATGAGCATAAACAAGAAATTTGATAGAAAGTGTTGTTACATGAAGCCCTTGTTGGTGCTTTTAAAAGAAAAAATCTCCTAAACTCACTCTAATAACATTCCCTCTTAGATAAGTAACATTGATCACATTTCCTCACACTAGCAGAAGGAAAGTCTAAGGAATTTGAAGAAGATTATCTTGATCCATGACCTGATAAGAACGCTTCGACGCACCCCACAGCGGTCGCATTTCCAAGTTAGATCCAGTGACAACAATGTCTTTAGGTAGCGGGTCACTTCCATTTGGTCTACATTGATTCTAATGAAACAAAAAACATGAGCATCGAAGGTATAAATCACTAATGTCATATAAATATGAGAAGATTGATACAAAAAGTTGTTCGTTCTTGTAACAATATCGAACGAACCTCACATTTATTGAACTTTGATCTGACAAAACCATCTATTCCCCAGTTAGAGATTTTCTGAAGAAGAAGAAGAACCATGTCATTCTAGAGTTCAATGAGTTAAAATCCTTTCAAACACTGATAGTGTGGCATGAAATATGTTGTACTAATAATGAACTCTGTGCAAATGCCACCAGAAGTTGACAAGTACTATCATTCTAGAGGCCCGAGATTTTTTCCAAGAAAATCCAACGAGAAAAAGACACTATTCCTTCTTTTCTACCGAATCAATCATAACCGCTACCTACATTCCACAAAATTGTGCACCACAAATAGGAGCTAGCTAATAAAGAGACATGCAATTCCATAGAAAGACATTACGATCCCCTGTAGAAAAAAAGAGCACGTCTAGTCTATTTCAACACTATAACCGACTCCATTGAGTTCACCACCATAGAACTAACAGTTACACCAACTTATTCGACGCTATATTTCAATTCTACTCTTTGAAAAGGAACATCGCCCACCCATCCTAAAGCCAACTAAACTTCTAAGTTATTAAGTTTTCGACAACATCTCAAGCTTCGACCACAAAGGCAACCCTTGGTGCTTGCTACAACGATGAGCTACAACACAGGATTCATAGAGAGAGCAACCACAACACATGAAAATCAGCAAGAGCAAGAGCAAGAAAGCATACCTCTCTGTAATCTGGTGCTATATATGCACTCCCCACAAACAATACAAGACAAAGCAAAGTAGTGACTGGAAGAAGGGTACAAAAACAAGAATGCCTACTTTTTTGCTCTGCAAGTAAGGGCAACTGCAAAGAAAACAACTCAAAATAAGCAATGAAACAAAATCATGCCCACAGGAACAGATACACAAGCATCTTAAACCCCACAAAACAAAGGGTATGATTAATTTTCAGTAACGATGGAAATCATTGAAGAACACCCATTATTTGTTGATTGGTTTCTATTAAACTGTTGGATTAAAAAACACCCAAAAGAACCCCAAATCAAATCAAATCAAACCCAATTGAATCGGTTAAAAAACAAAAGTTCATTCAAGAAGAAAAGGGGTAGGGTGCTTACACAACCGGAGAACTTCATGTTTCCATGAAATTCAAGATAGATTGGTATGAAAAGAGACAGAAAAGAGGCGAAAACTGCACAAATTTCAATACCCAACAACGTTCACCGGAAAACACTCGGCCACAACATCCACAATGTTGCCCTCGTCGGGAAATGAATTTAAAAGGAGACGTGGAAGAGAAGGAAAGTCATTAGGGAGAGAGAGAGAGAGAAATGAAACAGATTCTTCAGTTTTTTTTTTTTGGAAGAGAAATGATAATTATGGAAAAATTGAGGCAACCCGTTTTACAAGGAGTAACGTTAATTACACTAAGGATATTTTTTTTAAAAAAACACGTGTTTCGGTATGATTGGTTGAATTTTGCTTTTTTTTTTATAATAATTCATGATCTTCAAAATTGTTTTTATTATTTATTATTTCTTATCGAATTTAATTAAATATTTGAAAATAAACACACATCTTATTTATCTTATTTAAATATTTGTAGGTTTTATTTTCGTAATTAATTTATAATTGTACGTTACCCAATTTGATTTTCTTTTTCTTTTTTCTTTTTATTTCAGATAATTGAATTATGGTCGGATAATTGAATTATGTTTAGATTATTATAAAAACAGTGTTAAAATAAATAAATAGATAATTAATTAATTACCACGTATGACGCTGTCGAAAATGTTGTTGGAATGATGTTGGCTGTTATTGCATTATTTTATTTATTATCGAACGGCGCTTTACTTTCATTTTTATTATTATTATTATTATTATTATTATTATTATTATTATTATTGGCAGTAATAGTTGGACCAAATCATCATATAATTATTCATATTATTAATATAATAATACTCCACCATAAAAAATATTAATATTTTATTTATCTTTCACATTTTCAAATATTTTTTTATTATTATTTTTTTATGTCTCCTCGGAGATTAAATAAATATCTCTATTACCAGTGAATATTAAAAAATAAAATAATAATAGTAATGACATGAATATAATTAAATATTCACATTATTTTTGTACTTAGAATAATATATTTCCTATTTTCTACGCAAATGAAATAAATTATATAATTAAAAAATGGAGTAAAAGTTAATGGGACCCACCACTCAAAAAATAAACAAGAAAACTATATTGTATACGAAATAATTAATATATGTATGTTTCAAAACATTATCTTTTATTTATTTATTTATTTATTTATTTACTCAATAAGTTGGTTTGTGTACGTGTCAAATAATTACCGTTAAATACATATTTACTTTCATTTATTCTTTTTTTTATTATTTTAAATGTTCAATAAATCTTAAAATTAATTTTTTTAATGAATTTATTATTGATTTTCGCATATTATTGTCTAGCTAAATTTATGATTTATGGAAACCACACCAATTAAATTTAATAATTAGTAAAAATAAAGCTACCAAAATTGACCATTCAAAAAAAATTCAAAAAATAAATATTTCTATTTGTTTTTTTTTCTTTTTTTTTTTTTGAGTTTTTAATGTTTTTTTTTGAGTTTTTTTTTTTTTTTGATAGGTAATATATATTTTTATATATATATACTCAAACATACCTTATTGATATAGATAGTAACTTTCAATTTGTTTTAGTTTTTCTTAATATCTTATTTTTAGGATCGCTCTCGTTCGAATGTGGTCCTGACTAATTTGTGTACTCTTCCTTTATTCGGACTTTTCGCTTTATTTTTCGGTCTATTACACTGTTGTGACAGCTTCATGTATTCATGATTGAATCTATATTTTAAATTCAACGTTACAATCAATAGATAAAGTTTAGAGCATTCGATATTAATATTATTTTTTAATTTTTTATAATAGGTTGATTAAACCATGTGCCGAGCATGATTTGGAGGGTGACATTTGTATAGAGGTTGACTTTGACTTTTCATAATAACATGGGAACGTTTTTTTCATTACAAAAAAATTAAATACAACTCGGGAAGGTTTATATGGCTTGAAATTTTGATAAAATTATTCAAACTATATTTATTTTAAATTATAATAATATTATTTAATTAATATGAATATTAGACCTTAAAATTATATATTTTATTTTATAAGAGTTAGAATTATAAATTTTAATATATTTTATTTAAGATTATATCGAAATAATTATAAATTATGAATAATAAAACTCTTTAAAAAAAATTAAACTCAACCGAAAATAGAAGGTTGAGTTGGGTTGTGAAAAATTTCAGGTTGGGTTGAGTTATCAATCTAACCAACCCGAACTCTTAGGTTAGATAAAAAAAAATCTCTCAACCCAACCCAACCCAACTCAACCTGGACCATGTACATCCTTAATGGCGGGCCCGATGATATATTCCACTTTGGACCTCCAAATCTACTTCTAAAAACTTTTTTGGACTATTGTATCCCTTGAGTATGTTAACAATTTACAAAATATGCCACTTGCAATTAATTACCAGTAATAAATTTTAATTATAAATATCTATAATCCTTAGTTTTCAAAATATAAAAATTATCCTTTATTAAATTATATATTTTTAATTATAAAATAAATGGTATTAAACCATATGACACGTCATATCTCCCTTTTTAACTCATTATTCACTTAGCAATTATCAAATTAATGTAAGAGTTAAGTAAGGAGGAACGATACTAAAGACCGGATGAAAGACTTATTTGTTTAACTCGCACTATGTGAGATCCCACATCGGTTCGAGAGAGAAACGAAACATTCCTTTTAAGGGTGTGAAAACCTCCCTTTAATAGACGTGTTTTAAAATTGTAAAACCAACAGCGATATGTAACGAGTCAAAACAGATAATATCTGTTAGCAGTGGACTTGTATTATTACACACTATAACGATTAAACAAGTTAAAAAATGGATAAAAGATCAACTATTGGATGAACGAGTGTTGATTAAGTTACTCCACTCGAGTGCAACCATATCTTGAAAGGGATTTTAGAAGATCGAAATAACGAGATTGATTGAAAGGCCGACTAAGAAAAGATGTATTTTTTTTTTGAATTTGGTGTTAGAAAATAAAATATTTTGAATTTTTATTTTTAAATTTTAAGAGTATTTTTGAGATTTTTTTAAACTTATTATCCAAACTTTTGAAATTCGTTTACCCTAAAAACACAAAATAATCTCTGCAATTCCAACCCAGGCAAAGATACTGTGCTAATCTTCTCCTTACTTCGATCTTCAACGCTCAATCACTGCTTCTCCAAAGTCGTCGGAGTTCGCCTTCGTGGAGTTGCTGCTATCAGTTCCTGTCGTCTGAGCTTGTCGCGAGCAAGCCGTCGAGTTCGCTGCTTACCGTCTGAGGTTGATTGATTGGCTCATTGTTGAAGGTTCTCGTCAGGGGATTCTGCGGTTGAAGCGCTACCCAATTCGTGTGAGTTCAGAAACTAGGTTTGCTTAATGAATGAGTTTTGAATGATTTTCTATCTCTATTCACCTTCCCGACAATGGGTTATGGGTGAATCGAATTTGGAACAGGGTTCAGTATTGACATAATGGGTTGGGTTAATCGAATCTAAAAATATGAACCAAGTATAGATAATGTCTGAACCTAAAACTTCATATATGTATTGTGCATTTTGATTCTTTAGAAATATCCATTGACATGGACGTTCTGGGGAAATTTCTATTGCTATTTCCCTTGAGTTGTTTTTGATGGTTTTATTGATATAGGTATTTAAAACCTTGTTTTTGGAACTTGGCGTGATACCTTTAAATGAAATGCTAATCTGATGCTATGCTTATGAGATACACATCGGTTGGGGAGGAGAACGAAACATTATTTATAAGGGTGTGAAATCTTCTCCCTAGTATACACGCTTTAAAAACCTTCAGAGTAAGCTCAAAGAGGATAATATATGCTAGCGGTGTGATTGGACTGTTACAAATGGTATCAGAGCCAAACACCAGACGATGTGCCAGCAAGGATACTAGGCCCTGAAGGAGGGTGGATTGTGAGATCCCACGTCGGTTGAGGAGGAGAATGAAACATTCTTTATAAGGGTAGAAAACCTCTTCCTAGTATACGCGTTTTAAAAACCTTGAGGGAAAGCCTGAAAGGAAAAGTCCAAAGAGGACAATATTTGCATGCGGTGTGGTTGGGCTATTACAAATGGTATCAGAGCCAAACACTGGGTGATGTGCTAGTGAGGATGCTAGGCCTTGAAGCGGGGTGGATTATGAGATCCCACATTGGTTGGGGAGGAGAATGATGCATTCTTTATAAGGGTGTCGAAATCTCTCCCTAGCAGACGCGTTTTAAAAACCTTGAAGGGAAATTCCAAAATGGACAATATCTGCTAGCGATGTGCTCGGGCTGTTACAATGCTACTGAATTGGCTATGCTTTTAAGCTTTTATATTATCTCGTGCGTGTGATTAGAGGATCCTCAAAGGAGGCTATAAATACATATAACTTGGCTGTTTCTTGTAAACAAGATTAAGTTTGCAACATTAGTTTTGCAATTTCTTCTTTCATTTGTTTATGGTTTGCTATAGTTTTTCATCACCTGCATTGCAATGTTCTGAGTTTTGTTTCCAATTTTTTGTATAAGTCAATTGAAAGTGGTACAAATTCATTTCTATTTGTAGTGTTCTATGTAAGATGTTGGTAGACTATGCTTACCATATTTCTATTTCATTAATTTTTCAGATGAACGTGGGTTGTTCATCTGTTCTTGCTGATTCTAGTGCCATGAAAATCTTCTGGATTACTGTATAGGAATGACAACCTTAAGAAGTTCACTTATGCCTTCACTTGTAAAGACTTCTCCTTTCTTTTCATACTTCACTAAAATTCCATGGATATTTCCCGGCCAGAATACTTTTCGAGCTAGCCTCCAAGTCCATAGCCGTCGGTCGACTGTATTTTCAAAAAATATACTGAAATGTAGTTGCAACAGTTACTTCTCTATACACGCAGCTAGATATTTATGTACTGTTGCTTTAGCTTCCACTTCGTCTGTTCACGAATCCTCAGCATCTTCTACCGATAAAATCTCGAACAGATCAAGGAAAAAAGCCCTCAAGGAATCACCTGAGAGAGTGCTTAAACATAAATTAGATATGTGCTCAAAGAATGGACAAGTTGTTGAAGCACTGCAGCTTTACGACGAGGCACGGAGTAATGGCATCAAGCTTGAACAACATCATTATAATGTATTGCTGTATTTGTGTTCTTCATCGAGCTCGCTTGAAACAAGTGAGGATATCG